TGTTGCTCTGCTATAAGAAGATGTGAGATAAGTTCAGAATACTTTTTAAATCCCATCTCTTGACACGCCAAGTCAAACGAAAGAACTAATAGGATCACGCCATGTGTCAAAATGACAAGGCATGCCAAGTCACATTAAAAGGCTAATGAAATCGCGCCATGTGTGTAAGTGACATGTTCTGGCCAATCAAATGCGGTCATGTCACACTTCAATTTGTTTGGTCGGAAAGAGTTTGTTCTTATCATAACTCCTCCTTCCACGACTATAAATAGGGGTCTTCACAATTCAGAAAAGATACCAGAAGTATAACAAGGAGCAAGAAAGAGCTCGTGGATCAAACGCTGCAAATTCCTCCACAAGTTTCAAGCTTCAAACAACCAAGTTCAAGCAATCAAGTTCAAGCTCAAGAACGAAGAACAAATCAATTTCAAGCTTAAGAACAAAGAACAAATCAAGTTCAAGTTCAAGCAATCAAGCTCAAGCTCAAGAACAAGATCATCGTCTGTGCCAACAAACATAGATTCAAGATCAAGCTCAAAGGCCTTTGAATTTATTTACTATTGAAAAGAAGAATCAGATGATTCATAGAGATTGTACACTCAAATATTCGAAATAAAATACTACGATTGTTGCAATATTTTTCGGCCTTAATTTTATTTTCTTGACGCAAATTTATTGTCTGCAAATTCTGGCACGCCCAGTGGGACCAGTTCTGCCCTTAATCTCTTCCTCATACAAATCAAAAACTTCAAGTTTCATGATTATATGTTGCGATGGTCGGGTACTTCAAGTCTCGTCTTCAAGTTTCAGCAAGCCTACACCCCGACAAACCTTGAAGTATGGGGCATTTCTAGGCACTGAAATTTTAACAGATCAAGATAAGTCCTAATTTCAAGACAACTCTTAAAAAATCAGGAGTCTATTAGGGTTACTTGGTGGTTACTTCACCCAAACCCTGATTCATGCCTATAAATAAGGTTACATGTGTTCTTCAAATAGGATTTCAGCAATTCCATAAACTATCAGAATATGTACAAAGAGATCAAATATGAGGTCTCAAAAATCCCATAAACTCTTGGGGTATTCACAAAGAGATCAAAATATGGCCGAATACTTCTTGACAATCAAATAGTTCAAGAAGTTGGAGATCAAATACATCCCTAGGAGGTCTGCATCATCCTACATTCAAGAAATACCCTGCTAAGGCCCTCGAATCACGTAGAATAAATCAGAGGGAAGAATCAAGGGATAAACAAAGTTGTAACCTACAATGTTTATCAATAAAAACCCATTTTCTTTATAGTTGTTTGTGATTGCATTTTTTTTCTCTGCATAAATTTGTTGCAAATAAATTGGCACGCCCAGTGGGACGAGTTCTGGCCTTCATCTCTTTCTCCTGCAAATCAAAAACTTCAAGTTTCAAGATTATCTATTGCGATAGACAGGTACTTTAAGTCTCGTCTTCAAGTTTCAGTAAGCCTCCACCTCGACAAACCTTGAAGTATGAGGCATTTGTAGACACTGAAACTTTAACAGATCAAGATAAGTCCTAATTTCAAGACAACTCTTAAAAAATTAGGCTTCTATTAGGGTTACTTGGTGGCTACCTCACCCAAACCCTGATTCTTGCTTATAAATTACATATGTTCTTCAAATAGGATCTCAGCAATTCCATAAACTATCGGAATATGCACACAGGGATCAAATATGAGATCTCTGAATTTTCATAAAACTCTTGGAATATTCATTAAGAGATCAAAGACATGTCAAATATATCTTGCTAAAAGTCCTACGTTCGAGAAATACGCCACTAAGACCCTCGAATCACGTAAAATAAATTAGAGAAAAGAATCAAGGAATAAACATAGTTATAACCCGCAATGTTTATCAATAAAATCACTTTATTCTTTTGTGATTGCAGTTATTTTTCGTATCTTGAAAATTTATTGCAAACAGGTATATTCCTTCATCTCAATTTATGTGATGATGTTTAAAATTGTAATATTAAATAAGTTATAAATATTTGTGACTATAATTTTATTATAATTAAAATATAAAACTAAAAATTTTAAATACTATAAAAATAGTGACATTATTTTTGGAAAAGAATAAAAAGGTGAATTTTACCTTTTTAGCCACCGGGCCGAAGTCTAATTTGTGGACTTGTGGTGTCGGGTCGCAATTGCTATTTTTGCAGAATCCGTATAAATTCCTCTCCAATTTCCCTAAATTGAATTTTCCCTCTTATTTCCGCCCCTTGATTTTTGATTTGCTTTTCCCTCCTCTTCTCCTCCATTTTCCTTTAATGTCACTAAAACAGAAGAAGGGGGGAACAGAAAAGAGTTAGAAAATGATAGGAGGGAATAATAGTTTTGGGAAGACAATTTGCTCAATCTGTTATGAAGATCTAAATCCTATTATTGAAGACCTCCAATCCATTTCTATTTGCGGTCACGTTTTTCACGAGATTTGGTTAGACCCGATATCCATCTAAATGTATTTCGGTACTCTTTATATCAGCAAATTTTGATTCAAATTTAGTCTAAAACTGATTCATTTATGAATGTATTCAAATAATTGTATTGGGTATCTTTACTTGGAATCTACTTAATTAAAATTAATTTTTTTTTTTTTTTTTTTTTTTTTTTTGTCTCGGCTATATTTGTGGTTTAATTATTTAGTGCATGGATTTTTATAGGGTTGGCAATTCGAGCCCAAANTTTTTTTTTTTTTTTTTTTTTTTTGTTATAACCTAGAACTTGTATTTGTTACCCTTCCACTGTATAACCTATGAGTTTACGTGGACACATTAGCTTTTGCTCAAGAAGTCAAATAAATTTCTATAAATTTTTGATTTTGGACTTAGTTATTATTGTATATTAACTTGAGATTGCTATAGGAATTCATAAACTTTAAATTCTGGATCCGCCGGTTTAGTTACTTTGTATTGTTAAAAATGTTTCCTTTCAAAGGGGAAAGTTTATTTGTGCCACTTATGAGCTGCGACCATTTTGCTTTACAAATATATCAACTCTTACATTGTATTATTTGTTTTAATCAACATTTGTGCATTGCTGTTAACCTTCTATACTAAATAATATCACCAAACTATTAGATGTAGCTTTAGGGTTTGAACATTATGGGTTTGAGTACGGGATTCTAACAAAGCACATTTGATTTATTGGGTTCGAAATCTATAGTTTGTACTTATTTAGTGGATTTTTTTAAAGACATATAAATGATTCAAGCTAAAGCAATGTATGCTAGATCCGCCCGGACCATTATCCTGTACCAAATTCTACACCTTGTACAATTACTATATGTTACTTGCTTTTATAGTCAACTAATGATCAAGGAAATGATTTCCTAAGGTCAAACATTTTCCTTATTAAAAAAAGCACCTTTATGTTTACTTATGAAAAAAAAAGACTACTACATTAAGTTGTTGCTGGCCAGGTCTGTAACAATTCTATCAATGTGCTTGTATCTGATAGAGATAGTTATTTTCCTTATCTGATAATTATTTAGCTGATTCTGATTATGATATGTTATGGTTGCAAAAATCAGTCTTCAGCAATGGTTTGAATACTGTACAAATGGAAAAAAGAAGAATTGTCCAGTTTGCAAACAGGCTTGTTCAGAACAAAATGCAAATAGGCTTTATTTCCAATCAGTTGGTGATCCAAATGATACAAGTCTGACCAAGAAACCCCGTGATCATGAAGAGGATCCACGTGAACTGAGAAATGAGGTCAAAAGATTGGAGGGGAAAGTTTTACAGTTGACTTCTACTTTGGAGAAACAGCTGAAAGATCTCAAAGAAGTCAATGCAGAGGTAAATGGTTCATCTCGCTATTGCTTCGGCTGCCATGAATTTACAGAATATGTTGCTGTCAAATATGAAGCAATTGCATCATGCTTATTCTATTCGCGGTATTTTCTCCATTTCATGAAAGTGCCCTTACCATAAGAGAGGTCAATGGTCCAATAACCCTCTGACATGTAATATTGGCATGTGATGTGATGAGTTTAGCCGGAGTAACGTGGTCAATAAGGATTCATATAGCCGACTCCAACTTGTTTGGGAGTGAGGCATAGTTATTGTTGTTCTATAGATGAGAGAGCTCTAGAGTCACGAGTTGCACATGTGTGGATCTGATAGTCTTTTTAACAGTCTGGCGGACGGTTGAAACTTGCTAAAGTTTGGATACTTTAAGGATGTTTTTTGTTAACTGTGGTAGTTTAAGGGTGTACCTCAAATTTTCAGTATAGTTCAGGGATATTTTTGTCCAAAAACTCGAGGGTAGGAGATGAGAAAAGTCAAATTTTTTGCAAGTCTCTTTGCCCATAGCTGACAAAATGAAATGACAGGAATTTGATAGCTATAAAATCTCGCGAGTTCCATGGAGAGTTCTATCTCTTCTGATTAAACGTGATGAATGAAACAATCATCTTCCGCAGAATGCAGATGTAGGTTTCAGTTTATTTTTTGGCTAATGATTGGAAAGAGCCACAATTTTGCTCAGATCCAAAATACAAGTTCTTAGGTGGAATAAGCATGGCTCTGGTAAAGTTGAGAAGTATCTTGTACTACCATTTACTAAATTATAGATATTTATATGAGCATATTTGGTTCAAACTCGATCTGCTTAACAATTCATGTCATCACATTTTCATCTCGTCAAATTTTCTAAGTAAAGCAACTTTTTTGTTTCAGCTTTTCACATGCAAGGAAGAGTTGAAAATAGAAGCGACTCTAAAGAATGAAGCTGTGAAACAGGAGGCAGCCATTCAGCAGTTGTTACATCTTAAATCCAAGGTACATACTCCTCTTGATGTTTTGCTAGTGCATCTAGTCATATATTCTTGTATATAATGTCTTCTTGGTGGGAAAAGATGTAAGTTATTAGTTACTACATTCTGAGGAAATTTGTTCTGCAGGAGCTAGATCGATCAACTTTGGAGTGCATAAGGCTAAAAGATGGAAATATGGCTCTAGATAGGGAGCTTGCAGCACTCAAGTTGTAAGTCAATCATACTGAAAGAAACAAGCAGTTGCATCCTTATATTAGATTTACAGTAGTTCTTTTTCACTTTCCATTCATGGTTTATTACATCGGAATCTGCTATTTTAACTTGGAGGAAGAAGAGGTCTTGAAACTTGCTTCATTAGGGGATGATGCCAATAGCAAAGAGACACTTGATATCTTGAAAAATCATTGGTCACCCGAAACAATTTAGGAAGTTAAAGTTTTCAGCGATATCGGATGAAACTTCATATCTACTAATGCTCTTCTTTTGCGTTTGAGATTTCTTGCCTTGTATACATGTTGTGGATATGTTCACTGGAAGTTCATTGCCGTAGGAAATCTGAATTGTACAAACTTTGATATATTACACTGAGTTTCCTTTCGAGCTCGGGCAAATTACTTTCTGATCTGATATGAGATATCAAGCACAGGCCATGTAGATAAAAAGTAACATAAGCTTGATGATCTTAGCAACTCTGCTAAAATCCAGGCTTCCTAATTCCTCTTTATGAAAAGGAATGATATATTTTGAAATGAAATTGAAGTTATTGAACTGAAGCTTCTAAATGCCAAAGTGGAAAAATAAAAATAGTTCTTGTACGTTCTGCTATATGTTTACATATAAAGCCCCAAAAGTATTTCTGTTTCAGAAGAAATAATGGCTTCTTGCAGTTTTATATGTAGTTGCAGATGGGCACCTATTCTATGCGGGTTAGTTTATTGATGAATTTTATTATTTTCTTGCAAAAGGGTTGGCTATTATGTATCTACATGTTGATGGAGTAATATTGTTCACTTGTCTATGGAATGGCATTTTGATGATACTTGTGAAAGTGTTAGGTTTCGTTCTACAAAAGAAATCCTTTTCCTTCTCTCACATTTACAGTGATCTCTTTTTCTAAAGCTCAGAAGCGATATTTATATATTAGTCTTAAGTTTGATGGATAACTTTATTGCGTTCATTTGGCAGGAGTTACAAAGAACTAGTGACCAAGTGCGATACTCATGGAAGGCGAGAGGCTCGTTCTCTTAGGAAACTTGAGAAGTCAAAAGAAAAGATAAATAAGTTGAAGGTAGGTGTTGGATTTCCTAAATGAAATATGGTTTTATTATTTTTGAGCTTTGAAGATTCTTCATTGTGCGGCTATCTATAGACCAGGGTCCAAGAACTTGAGACGGCACTTGAAAGAAAAGAAAAAGATAATGAAAATTTGAGAACTTTGAGAGCTGCCAAGAAAAACTTTGAGTTGTATCAAGGAAGCAAAGAACCCAAAGTTGACCGACGTTCATATGAGAATCAGAATAAGGCACCTGCTGCGACAGAAGTAGATTTATGCATAGTCACTGGCTCATGCAATGATTTATCTAGACCAAGGAGAAAAAGAAAGTCTAAGTCTAAGGAAAAGAGTATACAAAACACGGCAGAAGATATTATAACTGGTGGAAGTCAAGTGCAGGGATCAGAAAATAAGGATGGAATCTCAGGTTCAAGGAATTCCCCTGTTATTATTCTTGACGATGATACTGATCTTCCGCTTCTAGATGATGTTACACAGCATCAGCCCTCGTTTCGCATCAGGAAAGAGACTTCTGCACCAGTTATACTTGCCCATCCAGGTTTCCATCTGTCTTATCTTGATGTTAAAGTGCTCTCATTTGTTGTTTGGATGATGATGATTTACTTCAACCAAATGATTTTGTTCTTTTTCCTAGTTTTAACTTATTGCTCTGCTTTTACCCTCTTGGCGGAGATTTAAGTTCATTTGGTGAAAAGAAAATCAGTCAACAAGTACTTGATTCCTCTAACACTCAGAGAAAATCCCAGGAGATACCTGTTTTTCTGGTGGATTATTAGGTCCTGATGGTACTTACTGGCACTTGGGAAAATGGTGCAAGAAGGTTAAGGACAAGGGATCTGGATCACTGTCTTGAGGACTGCAAGGATCAGGTGTGACTGCTGTTGATTTGATTGCTGTAGGAGCTGACGGTAGAGGCGGTTGGATCAAAGTTCTGCGATCAATGAATCCGGGATCATTGGTAGCTCTTAACACCTTTATTTGCTTATAAATAGATACATAGATACATGTTCAATTACTGCTCTTACTTTTCTGTTACATTTGCTAAGCACGCTTAACTTCATCCCTGATATGTATCTTACATACATGGCACAACTCGCAAATGAAAGCACCAAAGTTATAATAGTAGTATTGCTGCAACTCTATTATTCCATGATTGTTTGAAGTATCTTATGTATCTACTTGATTATTTCTTTATGAAACTGTTTTAAAACGATTAGTGCTACAACAATGAAAGTTTATTTGGTTATTTTTTCAGCAGGACAAAAATAAGAGTGTCATCAGTCAAGAGATACAAGTATGACATGAAATCAAGTAGTTCCCAGTCTCAAGGATGCTTGCATACAGATAGCTTCTTCAGAAGAACCAGTGGATAACCTTATTAACAGTGCTGCTTCTACATTACCAACTGTAGATAATAGAGATTAAATTCCTTATACATTGTTTAGGGGTTTAATTTTTAGCAATCTAGTTATACTACCATTTGATTGAATGGTCCGAAAAGAAGAAACTTAATGTCTTCTTTTGAGCATGTAAAGTAGGGATTCAAAGGGGAAAGGTAGCATACAGGGGAGAGAAAAGCAAGAAAGCAACTTCAGCAATTGTTTCTTAGCGGTTTTCAGTTATGTTGCTTGCTCAATCCATATTGAAAGTATACTCTTGGTAGTTTTGGTGTTAATGCTATAAAGTAAGGAGGCATTATGTTCATATTCATTCTTGATGACATAACATTTTCATCGTACTTTTTATTTGACAAACTTAGCTGTTGCGACCAAACACGTTGGTCGTTAAGTAATAGAGTAGTGAGTATAGTATCGTTCCCACGAAGACTTATGATTAACTTTTGACTGATTCAAACTCAAACAACTTATCGATTCAAGAGATTTCTCACAAAATATGTAAGTGACTAATTTATTTCTTAAGAAACTTTTTAAGCAATGAAATAACTAGAAATCAACCACAACACTCAAGCAATTTTGAATAACAACCAGTGGAAGAGGGTATTCGAGGGTCATAGGCGAGCTAACAATCTTGTTGCGTTCTTGGCTTAAAATGACTAATTGATTTATCTGGATTGTTGATTGATAGGGTTGATATTACTCATAAGAATTTGTCGAGTCCTTACTCGCCTATTCAAGCTAACTTAATGCCTATATGTCTATGGAATTAAGACTAACAAGAATGCATTTACACTTCCTGTATTTCAACCAAGCAAGGCAATTAGGTATATTTCTATCCTAATTGCGAATCCGTTCCCTGATGCCCGGGTTCAAGAACTCGCTCTATTTAATTCTATATGCAATCTAGAATTCCCACTTTCGAGTTCAACTCTAGATTCATAGATAGTATTTCACTGTTAGCTACTCAGCAAAACAATTAAAAACAGAATTAGAAAAACAACCTAATATGATAAAATCAAACTCGTCAATTTAAACTTCAAACATCAACATTCATGTAGCACCCATGACCCTAGAATAATAGGGTTTTTAGCCACTCATGTTCATACAATCATCAAAAATAATGTTTTCAAACATAAAATCAATGAACACTAGAAGAAGAATGGAAGAATTGATCAAATCCGTGCTCCTGAGTGTTTCGTACTTTTATTTCTCTCTCAAAGTCACGTCCCTCCCCTCAAAATAGGTTTATGTTGGCTTTTATATGAGTTGGGGGCTTCTTGGGGTCGAAATAACAGAGTCCTAGTCGAAATAGGACATGTTCACGTTTTGAACTAGGACATGTTCACGTTTTGAGCGTCCAGGGCAGCGTCGGGCGCTGGCCCTGGCGCTCAACTTTTTAACATTATATTTTGTGCGCCACATGTAGCGCCCCACGCTATCTGTGGCGCTCATCTGGGCCATTTCGCCTTTTCTTCCCATTTTCACTCCAATTGGCGCACTTTCGTCCCAAATCGCATCCGAATGATTCCTACACATAGAAATACCACAAATTAGCATAATTCATTATATTATACATCTGAAATCTAGGAGACATGAACATAATGCGAGGTAATATACATCAAAATATGCATACATTGAGCCGGATATCATTAGCCGTAGGTTGTTGCTTTCCCATTGCTGCTTGTTCTTTACTCCATTTTCCACTAACTTTCGAATTCTTCCAAGTGCAATCTCCACCGTTTGATCATCAATATTCGCGAAACAAACCCGAAACCAACCTGGCTCAGGACAGTTAAAAGAAAATCCTGGTGAAACATTAAGCTTCGAATCATTTATAATCAGTTTCCATAATGCCATCTCAGAATCAAATGTTGGTTCTTTCAACAGTGGCCTTAAATCCATCCAACAATAAAGTCCAGCATTTCCTTTCAAGCAATTTATTCCAACTTCTTCAAGTCATGTTGTGAATTTTTCGTGCCTTTTTTGCAAACTCTTTGAACTTTCAACGAGAAATTTGTCTACGAATTCATCGTCAGACAACATAGTAGCTAGTAAATGTTGTGTTTGAGTGGACACAAGACCGAAACTCGACATTTTTCTAGCACAACTTACCACAGTATTGTTGAAAGAATAGATAATTCCAACCTAAATCCTGGAAATCCCATGTCTTTTGAAAGACTATAGACAATATGAACCAAATCTTTATTAATATATTGATCCATTTTATCCCTTTCGTCGTCGATAATTTCAGCAATGCTGACGAATTCTGGAGTATCAAAGACAGTGGCTGCATAAATTTCGTCGCAAACTAAGTGGATGTTGTGTTTGTTTGTGAAGGTCAAGAGGTTTTTTAGTGTGTTTTTGTCTAAAGTTGTGCCTAATGGATTTGAAGGATTGGTTAAGATTAAGCCTTTGACTTTGATATTTGATTGTTGGGCTTTTTCATATGCTTCTTTGACAGCTTCTGTAGTAATCTTGAAATTGTTGAAGCTATTGCAAGGAATTGGGAGGAGTTGTACCCCAGTTCTCCACCTTAGGTCCCTATTGAATCTGCATATAATCAATTTTCAAAATACGTTATTCTTCAACTTAAGGCAAATGAAAAAGGCAGTCTCGTGCATTAAGCTCCCGCTATGCATGGAGTCCGGAAAAGGGCCGGACCACAAGGGTCTAATGTACGCAGCCTTACCCTACATTTCTACAAGAGGCTGTTTTCACGGATTGAATCCGTGACCTCCTAGTAACATGACAACAACTTTACCAGTTACGCCAAGGTTCCCTTTAAGAAAAAATTATTACATGCCTGGTATTTTATTGCTTCTGCAGGCGCAAGTCAAAAAAAGGAAGCCGATGCACAAAGTATTTTACGAGGGTCGGAGGAAGGGCCGCACCCCATAGGGGTGTGATGTAAGCATCAATGACTAATTCTACAGCTCGAACCCGTGCACGCAGAAGTCTATGATTATAAAAAAGAGGATTTTTTTTTTTTGAAAAGAGGAGTTTAAAGGAGAAAAGAAAATATAAAAATAGTAGCAGCAATCTTGACCTCTGTACTGCTTAGCTTGTTGCTTTGAACATTTTGACTATGTATCATTAATTTTGAAAGTCAATTAGACTTGACCATTAAGTATCTCAAGTCAATTAATTTAATTATTTTTTATACAAATATAATCTCCCTCCGACTCTATTTATATGACTAATTTTCAATTGTAGTTTGACTAAACACCAACTTTAAGAAGATTTTTTTTTGGAAACTTGTAATATGAAACATGATATTAGATTTACGTGACCATAAAATAACCATATTAAAGATTAAATGAAAAGTTTAAATTTAGACTAATTTAAAAATAAGACAGTTTATCTACTATAACATACTAAAATTTATTAATATAATTTTTTTTATATGTTGTCAATATATATATTAGCCAATGTATGTATACATACCCAGGGTAATAAGGTGAGGGGACTAAAATTGCATCTCCTTCATTAGCCAAACATGATATGAGATTCTCATTAGCTCCAGTAGCTCCACCAGCCATTACTATACGCTCTGCATCAAACTTAACTCTGCCCCTTCTTGTTTTTTCCATTAACTTCGCAATTGCCTGAAATAAATTATATGTTTGAGGTATATGTCAAGAATAATTATTTATACAAAGGGCAGACCGGTGCACAGGGCATCCGTGTTCCTCGAGGGTTCGGGGAAGAGCTACACCCTTAGAGATGTGATGTAGACAGTCTACCCTAACGTAAGCAGGAATAATTATTTATATGTTCCAATATATATATATATATAGTGTGCGTGTGTTCATATATACAATAAAATAAAGACATATAACAACAACAACAACAAACCCGGTATAATATCACATAGACAGACTTTATTCCTATCTCGTAGAAATAGAGAGGCTATTTCCGATAGACTCTCGGCTCGATCAATGAAGCATAAGGACAACAATATTGAAAAGAAGACAGCCAGACACAACAACGAGGAGCACAATAAAGATATAAAATGTTTTCATATATATATACAATAAAGACATATTATAAGAACAACAACAACAACAAACTCGGTGTAATCCCACGTAGTGGGATTTGGAAGGGTAGTGTGTACACAGACCTTACTTCTATTTCGTGGAGATAGAGAGGTTGTTTCCGATAGACTCTCGACTCAATGAAGCATAAGTACAACAGTAATAAAAAGAAGACAATCAGACACAATAACGAGGAGCACAGTAAAGACATAAAATGTGTTCATATATGCAACAAAGAGTGATACTTACACTTCTGAGTTCAGGCAAGCCATGATAATCTTGAAAGTTAGCAATGGTCCTAAAATATTTGATTCCTTCAGGTGTGCAAATGGAAGCTTTTGGATTTCTCATAATCCATTCTTCTATCTTGTCAAAACAAAGCTGCCCACAAAAAAAAAAAAAAAAAAAAAAATTAGAAGAATTTTCTATCATCTTTTTCATATAAATAATTAATAATATAGCAGATTAAAAAACTAAGAAATTATAAAAAACTAAACCTGATTTTCAGCAAGACCCATTTGAATAACACCATTAGGATTTTTCACAAGGTGGAAAGGATCGTTATCGTATGCTTTCCATCCATCAAAATATGGCGAATTTTCGCCATGTTCTTCATTAGTAGCTAGCTTTGACAAAACTACTGAGTTGAAATTCCCTCTCTCTGAACTCATATCTTTAGTATATTTCAATAAATATCAATAAAAAATGATCAATCTGTGTACAGAAATGCTAGCTTAGCTTTCTGCAGTAGTGCATGGATAAGAATGAGGGACGTGAGGGATATATTTATAGGGGAAGGGTAAAAGCAGCGGCGGATGTAGTGTACTACTTACGGGTTTAATTGAACCCATAAGTTTTGACGCGGAGTAAAAATTTGTATGTAAAAATTTATTAAAATTGCAAAAATAATAGATATGAACTCATAACTTTAAAAATATAATAGGTTCAATGCTAAAGATATTATAATTGAACCCATAGAATTTAAATCCTGGATCCGCCTCTGGGCGGTACAGTCTAATTATATTGTTTTTCCCAAGAACCATACCCAAATTAGTATATAACTTCAACTTGTAGCATTTCGTAGACCAACTATGGCTTCTTTTGGAAAATGATGTTTTTTTTTTCAAGAATCGTCTCCCATTTTTTCTCCTTTACTTAGTGTCGGTATTTCTACTCGTCATTTCAAAGGAACATATGTTATATTCATTTTCCGTTATTTGATAATTCAACATAATTGTTTGAAGATCATCATTTCAGAAATACTCAATATATAAAGGAA